TAGGTCTAGAGTTAGCCATATTAGTTTTTTCTTTTAATTTTTAATTATGAAGCCTCATAATTGTTTTTTTTGTCATTTACACTTTTAAGTCCAGTACTTAATTTATAATACTTAGTAATTGTTTAAATAACTTATCAAAGCCAAGTGACTGTCCCTTCATATTTGTGTATTTTTTTTTGAGTGCTAATTGTCTTGATGAGTTAGTTTATACATTGTCCCAATTTTCTTTTTTTAAATAAATCTTTATTGTTCATATTATTCCAATTTTCTATTAATTAAAATTTAAATATGAATAGAGACAAGTTTTAAAATTTGCCATTTTTATACAATATCAGCTATTGATTTCAGTTTGTGAATTAGAAAACTGAGTCATGGGCCACAAGATAAGGAGTTTTATTGTTTGAAGAGAATACGCTAAACTTTGCAACCCAAACTGTGTTTATCCAACTTTATGCTGAAGCCATACCATGTTCAAAAAAGTGACTATTACTTGGAAGGTGACACAAAAACAAAAGCAGGGCGTAGTTGCCTAACTACTCACAGTGCTAAACTTACGCTCCATAGTAAGTTTTAAGAAACTTAAGGAAATAGCCTTGGCTGGTGTCGCTCAATGGTTAGAGCATCGGCCCTCACACCAAAGGGTCAGTGGTTCAATTCTCTCAAGAGCATGTACTTCAGTTGCAAGTTCTATCCCTGGCCCTATCGTGTGGGAGTCAGGCAACCAATTGACGTGTCTCTTTCACACTGATGTTCTTCTCTCTCTTCCACTCCTCCCTTACCCCCTTCGCTCGTCCCCCTCTCTTTCACTTAAAAAAACAAAATAAAGAAATGAAAAGGCAATAATTAGTTGTGGGTAGACCCATTGGAGGTGAATTAGCTGATTAGTATTAATAAATGTCAAGGAACTTCTAAATGCCTTGAGGGTTCAGCAGGTGAGGTCCAGCCACACATGGACCTTTGGCCACATCTGAGTTGGTTTCTCCCTGACTCCTGCGCCATGCATAATCTTTTTCCCTTCTAAAACCCAACTTGAGAGCCAAGGGTAGGTGTGCAAGTGATATTTATCCTGATGCATAATTAAATATACTGAGAGAATTCTGGAAAGATGAAAACTGAATTCACTTTCTAATGGATGTTACGGTTCTTAAAATGTTGGTCTCATTTTACCTTCCATACTGTTTGTTTGTTTTAATCTCCGCCCAAGGACATGTTTTTTATTGATTTTTTGAGAGGGGCGGGGGGGGGGGGGGGGGACATTGATGTAAAAGAGACACATCAATCAGTTGCCTCCGACCTGCCTTGACTGGAAATCAAACCCACACTTTTCAGTGCATAGGACGAAGCTCCAACCACCTGAGCCACATCATCCAGGGCTACCTCTTGTTCATTTTAATACTTTATAGCTTTTACCTCACTTTGAAATTCCTTTCTTTCCTGTCTTCTGGGATACTGATACTCTTAATTTCCTTTTTCTGTTATCTTCTTGCCTCTTAAATAACAGTAGCATTCAGTGTGTGTGTGTTTGCTTGCTTCACATATATTCTCTTTTGTTGGGCAACCATTCTTATCTCACATTAATGCTTTTCTTCTATAAGCACTTGGTATTTGTTATGTCTCAGAATACAGTGTGTCCCAAATTCCTCTCTTTTCCCACAATTTATTCTTAGGTTCTCGGTAAGTGACGATACTTCCCCCCAATTATTCCTTGTTCTTCAACATTTCTAGCCCAGCTCCTCCTACCTATCCATCAACAAAACTTGGATTCTTCCTCCTATATCTTATTTGCATTCTTCCTCCTATATCTTATTTCCATTATTGAAACTCGGGTCATCCCTTTTGAACTAACCTGATTTCTGCTCTGCTTGCTTTTACCCAGTTTGTCCACTTTTAGTTTGGGTTGTATTACTTTCTTGTTTCAAATTTTCTAACAGTTTCCCATTATCTAGGATAAAGTTCATAACTTCATAGTAAGGTTAAAACAAGTAGTACTTAACAATATAGTTGCAGTCTGTCTTACTAGCTTAACCTCCAACAGCCCACTTTTATATTTCCTATATTTTATCTGTTGCAAATTTGTACATTTCTTAGGGCATGTTATATTCTTTTGTTTTGAGCCTTTGCTGAAAAGAAAGACATATTTCTTTTATTCCCATTCTGTTGAACTCAGTACCTTTTAAGAGCTACTCTAATGTCCTTTGATTCTCAGCATTAGTTAACTTCTCCCAATCTGTGTTTCACAAACACTTTGTAGTTTTGTTTATTATAGCATTTATCACAGAATTTTAGTTCCTTCAATTAGACTGTGTCCTTTTTAGGATTAGACGTTATGTTTTACTATATTTGTACTTTGTTCACTTTCTATCTATATATGATTCAAGTATCATTTTGACAACAATTAAAAATTAACAATGTACCACATTTGGTGCTAGGTAATTTATATACATTTTAATTTATTCCTTAAAACAACATCTTGAGGGAGAAGATATTTTCTCTTATTAGATATGAAAAGCCTGAATATTGCCACAGTATGAACACATAGTGTTAGTGGCAGCTTCTCAAATTCATGTTGTTTTCATAAAACCATAATGAAAGACCTATAAAGTCTATATTAACTTAGACTTCTGAAATTTAATAATTTTATTGAACTTGTAGGAAGAAACTCAATTACCTTGGAATTGCCTATTTATATAGGGAAAATTGTATAGTCTTTCCAAGTACTTCTCCTTGCATGTGAACTGAAGACAATATTGTTTCCTTAAATAAGAAATTGGATTTTTTTAGATTGCTTTTCACTTCGTCTAAATTTGTGAAGCACCCATTAATTTGAAAAAAAATATTTCCCTCGGTGGATACATGGTTATTTAAATTAAGTTTCCTATTGACTCTTCTTATCAATGTAGTGATTTTCTTGTTTGGATTTTCCTTAACAATTTATATGAAGAGGTTGATGGTTCAAATAAAAGTGGTCTCTTGATCTTAAGTGCTAACAGGGTAGATAAGCTGTATGAAATAATACCAGAGCAGGATCTTTCTTAACCACTGATCTATCCCTATCCATAATGCTTGACAAATGTAAGCAGTAAATATTTGTTGTAGAGAGAGAAATAACTGTAAGAATGGTAATGAGTGTGCTGAGGATTGGGGCAAACACCTGCACACTGGTCATGATTTAAAAAAACGTATTTGGAGAAAGTGTGTTATATATGTTGTGCATCTAATTAAATGAAACAGCAATAAATTTAGATTCCTTTAAAGCCAGTGTGTCTCTTGAGAAAAAGATAAATCAAAATCTACCTTTGCTTGAAGGAACGAATGTGAAAAAGTTTTGAAACTACAATTTTGTAGAGAATAATTGTTGTGTTGAGTAGGGTGAAACAGGACAGAGGTCAGATACTACCTTTCAGATGTATATCTGTTAGGGGAACATATTGGACAACCATATAATAAAGAAACAAATTCTGATGTTCTGAAATATCTAAAACTGATTTTTGTCAGTTGGTACCCCTTGTCCATTCTATAAACAGGGCCTAACTCTACCATCCCTTCCAGATTTGTAAAATGACAAAATAGGCAGGAAACAAGGGCTTTTGTTCTTTGTTTTGGTCACATAAGTGCCAGAGTTAGAAGAGTTTAATGATCTTCATTAACAAGTTTCTTATAATTTATTAGCATAAATAACTTTGAAAAATATATGGAGTGGCCACAGAAGCAGACCTATGCAGTAACTTCAAGCTGGTTCTTAGAAGATGCTATTATTCACATAGTTACTTGCTGATTCCATAGTTTTCATCTAATGGGAGGGATAATTATTCATTCATTAAAACTTTTTAATAGAGATATCCTTGCCTTTAGACATGCCATTTGCTCAAGGATCCTATAACTGGTTTCCATATTATCTATAATAATAAAAGCATAATATGCTAATTAGACTAGACGTCCTTCCGGATGAAGCCAGGGCTGTGAGGAAAGTGGTTGGGTGCCTATCGGTGGTTGGAGGAAAGCCCTGGTCCCAGGTACCAGAGGGAAGCCAATGCTGGGGGAAGGAAGGCCTACTCTTGCATGAATTTTGTGCATCAGGCCTCTAGTTTATCAATAGTCTTTTCTCATAAAATTGTAAAAGGTATCTATCCTCAGAGTAAATAAATATTAAAATTAGAAATAAAGGATGTTTATTTTTTTGTTACTTAATTTTGCATGGTGTGATATTTATTAATTTTTCTACTATTTTGGATTAAAGAACAATGGTGAAGAATTTTTAAGCTTTTGTTAATTTTTCAAATCTGTGGCTAGATTTAGCAGCACCAAAATAAATTTGAAAACAACTTATACCTTCTCCAACTCCTGTCACTGAAAGCAAAAGAAAATCACAGTAGAAATAATAAGAGTAAGGATCATTTCAGAGGGAAGTGGTTACTAATTTGTGCAGGAAGTAAAGGAAGTTAACATATAGAGCTTGTTTTGTTCCAAGAGCCTAAGTGACCAGCTGGCCAGTAGCTTTGATGTGCACTGACCACCGGGGAGCAGACACTCAATGCAGGAGCTGCCAAGCAATAGCAACTTTGCAGTGTACCCTCTTGTACTCCAGAACCCTTCGGGATGTCAGACTGCCAGTTTGGGCCCGATCCCTGCAAGCCAGGCCGAGGGACCCACCTGTGGAGGGACCCTGCTCACTCTACAGACTCCCTTCTCGAGTCCCAGCGCTGCCCCAGGTGCAGATAGTCAGGGAGTGACTGTCAGAGGTTGGCTCCAGGGCGTGTCCACTCACCTAGTCCCGCCTCGCCAGCCACCTTCTAATTAATTTACTTTCAATATGCACAAGTCTCTTCAAAAATTAAAATGTCTTATACGCCAAAACCGGTTTGGCTCAGTGAGCGTCGGCCTGTGGGCTGAAAGGTCCCGGGTTCGATTCCGGTCAAGGGCATGTACCTTGGTTGCGGGCACATCCCCAGTAGGGGGTGTGCAAGAGGCAGCTGATCGATGATTCTCTCTCATCGATATTTCTAACTCTCTATCCCTCTCTCCTCCTCTCTGTAAAAAAAAATCAATAAAATATATTTTAAAAATAAATAAATAAATAAAATGTCTTATACCTTCTAACTTGATCATAACTGAACAATACATCCTGAGGTTTATATTTTAGAGAGCTATTGCTTCTAGTTCTTTTAACCATTACAGTAGCATCATAAAAAGGCTGGTAGAGGAGTCCATTTTCAATAAGCTTGTTAATAATAACCTGTTTCGTTTTTTTTGTTTGTTTTTTGGTTTTTTTTGGAGCTAGGAAGAGAAAAAAATTAATTCCTAGAATTTGAAATGAAGATTTAGTTACTGGTAGCAGTGTAAACATTCAAACACTGTGTGCCTGAAACATATATATCATAGTAGCAGTCTTAAATCAGTAATATAATATAAATGTGAGCTTAAATTTTTAAGAAATGTGTATGTATGGGAAATTAAAAAATGCTTTAGCAATTTGTTTCCTAATTAAAGAGTGATTTTATTGCTTGAGTACATAGACATTTTATGCAATCAGAGTAGCAGTTGTGGATGACTCATATTTCCAATTGGGAGGAAGACTCGTTTGGACTTACAATATTGAACCAAACAGTAACTACTGCTCCCAGAGTCAGGTGGAATTTAGCATCCTTATCCTTTCTATTCCTCTCAAGATGTTTTCCAACAACAGCTTTCTTAATTAAATGGTAGAGATCCTCAGGAAGATTAGGAACAAGTCCTTTGGACTTAAGAATTTCCAGGATCTTATTACCTGTCACAAAACGTACTTGTGCAATGTCTGGCCAAGAAAGGCCTGATTCCCTCAGAAATCAGTGTGATCCTGATTTGTAAGTTTCTCAGGATCACACTGATTTCTGAGGGAGTCAGCCTTTTCTTGGCCAGTTTGTAGATCTGGTCCTTCACGTTGTCAGACATTAATTTCAACCAGGTGGCAACACTGTGGTGGTAGAGCAAAACACACTGGGACAGGCCCTAACCTGAGTGTGTATGACCAATGATGATAGTGAAAAGGAATGTAAATTTTCATGTTTAGTTTTTAGACCAGTATTGTCAGAGACTATGTATGAACATCTTGAATAGCTCAGTCTTAATGTTGTTACCCATAATAAGGTCTCTGTTTCTAATGCTCTTTTTTTGTCCATGAAAGTCACGGTATCAGTAAAATTCCATGAAAATACCAGTTTGTGTTCATTTTCCTGATGGTGGACATGTGTTTCTAGTTTTGTACTAAAATAAAACAAACCGTACCAGCTGGTTTGGTTCAGTGGATAGAGTGTTGGACTGTTGACTGAAGGGTTCCAGATTCATTTCCGGTCAAGGGCGCATGCCTGGGTTATGAGCTCGATCCCCAGTTGGGGGTGTGCAGGAGGCAGCCCATCAATGATTCTCTCTGATCATTGATGTTTCTATCTTTCCCTCTCCCTTCCTCTCTGAAATAAATAAAAATATATTTAAAAGATGAAATAAAACAAACATATCACTGTGATAAAAATTGTTGAATGTGCCCAGCCTGCATGGCTCAGTGGTTGAGTGTTGACCTATGAACCAGGAGGTCACACAGTTCGATTCCCAATCAGGATACTTGCAGGCTCCATGGCATGCAGCTGATCAATGAGGTTTCTATCTCTCTCTTTCCCTTTCTCTCTGAAATAAATAAATAATATATTTTTAAAAATTTGTTGAATGTTTCTCCTGGTTTATATAGTTTCTAAACTAAAGTGTATATATATCTCTGCGGGGTTGGTGGGTCATAAAGTGTGTGTACAGCTCATTTTTCTAGATAATGCCTAATTGTTATTTTCCAATGTGGTTTAGTCTCCACCAGAAATGTGAAGTGTTCTGTTACTCTTTGCCAACATTTGTCAGGCTTTTACATTTTTGTCAACCTGATGAACATAAAAAGATACCCTGTTGTTTTTAATTTTCATTTTCCTGATTATCAATGAAGTGTAGCATCTTTTGCAGTTTTTTTTTTAATAAAGCTGTGAAATGTCATTTTGTGTCTTTTGTTTGATTTTATATTGTGTACTTTGTCCTTTTTGATCTATAGTAGTTCCTTAAAATATTTTGGTTAATACTTTTTATGTAATTGTTTTTGCTTTTTGTAAATTTCTGCATCCTGTTGTCAAATATATCTTCTTATATTTTCTCTATTTTTAAATACTTAAATATACATACAGAAGTTTAAATTAACCTCAATTTGGTTTTGTTTAAAAAATGTAAGTTTTTATATCTGGCAAGACAAGCCACAAGTTGTGTTCTTTATCATAATCTTAGCCCATTCTGGGGTTGTTCACCATAGTACCTGTCCTGATTTGTATTAAGACTATTTTATATTTAGGTAGTTTGTTCATAGATATTTTCACCTTTAATTATTTTCAGACATGTAACATTTAGTCCTAGAGGATTGTATTGTCCTTTTATCCTAATGGAAGGTTCCATGAATATGTAGTTAATATACAAAAGTATTTCGGACAGCATTACTAATAAACAGTGTGGTACTTTTAGAATCAGAAATGGATATGGTTGAATCATTGCTTTACCAAGGTTTCATGACTTCAAGCAAGCTATATAATCTCTTGATTTTTTTCACCAATGAAACCTGGCACATGGAAGTTATTTGATATCTGTTCCAGTTTCCTCTATTCAAGTAATTCTTTCAGCCTTATTATCTCCTGTTTATTTAGAATCTACATCAGGAGACAAATCTGTATCACATTCTTGCACAACTCCTTCCACGTCGTCTTCTGGACTGAATCCCACATCTGCACCTCCAACATCTGCTTCAGCAATCCCTGTTTCTCCTGTTCCACAATCACCAATACCTCCATTACTTCAGGATCCAAATCTTCTTAGACAGTTGCTTCCTGCCTTGCAAGCTACACTGCAACTTAATAATTCTAATGTGGACATATCCAAAATAAATGAAGGTAAATTTTCATGCTAATAATTTTTAAAGACCCAGTTGTATTGTGTAAAATCATATCATTAATAAAATTCCCATTTTAGGAATGGTCTTTATTTCATTTTGAATTTACATTTGCACTTTGTTATTTGGAATTTTTACCTGCCATGGTTTAATGCCTTTGGTATTGTAATTGAGTTAGCAATTGGATTTTCTGTGTATTTTTTCAAGACTTACCATATACCTAGTAGTTCCTAGAGATGAGTTCTGTCTTCTTTATGTATATGGTGAATTTTATTTTATTTTTTAAGTAAAAACAACTAAAGAGCACATGCTAAAATTATTAAAACTAGAGGCCCAGTACACGAATTGGTGCACCTGTGGATCACTCGGCCTGGCCTGTGGGAACCAGCTTTCCGACATCTCCCGAAGGGGGTCTCAGATTGCGAGAGGGCACCAGCCAGGCCAGGGAGGGATATGGGAGGTTTGGCCAGCCAAGGAGGGACCGTGGGAGGGCTCCAGGGCATGTCTAGCCCCTCGAACTCAGTCCCAATCGGCTGGACCCAAGCAGCAAGCTAACCTACCTGTCGACTACTGCCCCCTGGTGGTCATAGCAAGTGGTTGAGAAGCCTTAGCATACCATTAGCAATTATGCTTTGATTGGTTGAACAGACGACTAGACACTTACTATATTAAGCTTTTATTATATAGGATACTTGATTTCTTGGTTTATTTAAAAAAAATTATCTTATAATAGTGTATATAATAAAAGGCTAGTATGCAAATTGACCGAACAGCGGAACAACTGGTCACTGTGATGTGCACTGACCACTAGGGGGCAGATGCTTAACACAGGAGCTGCCCCCCGTGTGATCCGTGCGCTCCCATAGGAGGAGCGCCACTCAGCCAAAAGCCGGGCTCACTGCTGGCAAGCAGAGTGGCAGTAGCAGGAGCCTCTCCTGCCTCCACGGCAGCATTAAGGATGTCTGATGGGCTGGTTTAGGCTCACTCCCCACTGGGAGTGGGCATAGCCATCAGTTGGACATTTCCCAAGAGCTCCTAGACTGTGAGAGGGCACAGGCCAGGCTGAAGCCTCCCTCCCCTCCCCCCGGTTCACGAATTTTGTGCATCAGGCCTCTAGTGGGTAGATAATTACTTGGAATGTTTAATATGCTAATTAAAAGGTAAGAATTCCTTATTATAGTACTTGAAACTTTTTTTTAAAGGGAGGTAATGAATAACATTTTGCTCTTTTTCCTAGTTAATTGCATTGTTAATTCCAACTTTTCTTTTCAGTATGCTAGTTTTTACACAGTGATCTCAAAGAAGTCTGAATAAAAGTATATGTACTTTGAATTTGTAAACCATTTCAGATCCAAATATTAAGCCCTTAAGAGCATTGCAGAATTTTACATTTCTGTACATTTTGAAATAAAATATTTAACAGTAATGTTAAATGGTTAAATTTTTTCTTTATCTTAAGTGGATATCTCAGGATAGTTGTTTATTAACCCTTTGCACTCCGAACCATTCTGGACATTGGCTACCAGCTACTCGACGCTACTTTGCGGCGGACACGTGCATTGAATTAACTCAATTCCCCGTAATCACTAATAAACTGCAATGTCCCCCCTGAGAGGGGACAGCGGAGTGCAAAGGGTTAATCTTATGGTCTTATTGTCCTCAACTTTTCTGTATTATCATTTTTATTCTCTAAGGTAACCATGCCATTTTCTTGTTTGATAGGGGACATTTTTACTAGGCAAAGTGGGGCTTTTCAATAGTTTGAAGAAATTATGGCATTAGAAAATGTCAATAATAAAAGCTCTTCTTATACTTTGGAAAACGTGGCTTTCCTAAGTGCCCAGGTGTGTGTGGTTTTGTTTTGTTTTCTGTGATTTTTTAAAAAAAATCCTCATTGAAGGATATTTTTCCATTGATTTTTAGGGAGAGTAGAAGGGGGAGAGAGGCAAAAATATCAATGTGAGAGGGACACATCAATTGGTTTCCTCCCCCATGCTTTCTGACCAGGGCTGGGATTTAAGGTATATGTCCTTGCAACCAATGGTCTTTGAACCAAGGACCATTCAGTTTGTGGGCCGACACTCTATCCAACAAGCCAAACCAACTAGTACATAAGTGCCCATTGTTTTAATATCCTTTTAATATCCACTTATAAAAGATTGTTGATTTAGGGCACATGTGTCAAACACAAGGCCCGCGGGCCAAATCCGTCCCGCCAGGCCTTGCAATGTGGCCCGCACCGCGCTGTCATCACTGCATTCCGCTGCGTTTCCATCACAATGACAGTTTATGACTGTTCAGTAAACCATTCGGCCTGTGATTTAGGCTGGATTTTAGATTTTGGCCCCTTCTCTGATTGAGTTCGACACCCCTAAATTTTAGGGTTTTAGTGTTAAGCTTGTCTGAAAAAGCAATCTCATTAAATAGTTAACATTTATCCAGTTAATTCTAAGTATCATAGTCATACTTTACCTATATGTGAATACTTTTGTAGTGTGATTAGAAGTTCCAGTGAATACTCATTTTCCTGTTTTTTAAAAAGTGTCATAGAAGAATTTTCTTGAACTGAATATCTGAATTTTAATGTAAAGGAAACAATTCTTTTCATTTATTATAGTTTGATTAAATTTTTTGTCCTCTGCCTCAGATCATTTCATATCTCTAGACCTATTATATTCCTCTTACTAGAGGCCCGGTGCACGAAATTTGTGCAGGGAGGCGGGGTGTCCCTCAGCCCAGCCTGGACCCTCTCCAATCTGGGATCCCTCTCACAATCCAGGACTGCTGGCTCCCAACTGCTCACATGCCTGCCTGCATGATTGCCCCTAACCGCTCTGTCTGCCAGCCTGATCATCCCCTAAGCACTCCCCTGGCAGCCTGATCAACGCCTAACTGCTCCCTTGCCGGCCCAATTGCCCTAACTGTCTTCCCCTGCTGGCCTCATTCCCCCATACTGCCCTTCCCTGCAGGCGTGGTCACCCCCACCTGTCCTACTCTGCTGTTCTGGTCACCCCTAACTTCCCTCCCTTGCCATTCTGGTTGCCTCTAACTGCCCTCCCCTGTGGGCCTGGTTTCCCTCTGTTTTCCCCTGCAGGCCTGATTGCTCCCAACTGCCCTCCCCTGCAGGCTTGATTGCCCCCAGCTGCCCTCCTGCAGTCCTGGTCTCTTCCAACTGCTCTCCTCTGCTGGCCTGATCACCCACAACTGTCCTCCCCTGCTGGCCATCTTGTGTTCACATGGGGGTGGCCATATTTGACCACACAGGGGCAGCCATCTTGTGTGTTGAAGTGATAGTCAATTTGCATATCAGACTTTTATTATGTAGGATGTAACAGACTTTTATTTTGAGAGTTCCGATTTGAAACATTCCAGTTTTGTCTTAGTTCTTTGATTTTCAAGTTGTTACTATTGCTTCTGTTTTATTTGAATTTACGATACAATATGTTTTTAGTTCTTACAGCAGCTGTGACACAAGCATCATTGCAGTCTATAATCCATAAGTTTCTTACTGCTGGACCATCAGCTTTCAACTTAACTTCTCTGATTTCTCAAGCTGCTCAGCTCTCTACACAAGGTATGCATATTCTTAGATATTATTCTCTCTCTCTCTCTTTTTTTTTTTTTAGTCTTTGAGCTGATTTACTACAATAATTTTATGCTTGATTTTTTCATCACTATATAGAGTAGTATTTTTATTTACTCTTTTAGATGAAACAAGATTTGACATCTTATAATTGCTGTCAACTCTATAAAATAGTGTATATTTCATGCTGAATTTATGTTGCTGATGAGATATTTTTATTTCCAAGCTAAAAGCAAATTATTATATGCCCTCAATTTTTGTGAAATGTTGAGTGTATCTTTTAAGTAGCTACTATCCCACTTCTCCATGAAGTTTTTTTGTTTTGTTTTTTTGGTTTTTTAATCCTTACCTGAGGATATTTTTCCAATTATTTTTAGGGAGAGTGAAAGAGAATGGGAAAGACAGAAATATCCATGTGAGAAACACATTGGTTGCCTCCTCCACACCCCCTGACCCCACTGGTGCATGAATCAGTGCACTAGGCCTCTAGTGTACTTTATAAAAGAAGTTTTTTTTATATTCAGAAGTATCATCTTGATTTGTTTGGGAGAATACTAGTCATTAAAAAAAAATTCAAGAGAGAAGCCTGAATCAAAGTACATGCTCTAGACTGGATTCAAACCTGGGACCTTTCGGTCTTCAGGTCAGTGTTCTGTTCACTGACTCAAACCAGCTAGAGCCTCCATGAAGTTTTTTAATGTAAAGAGATAAATATAGGAACAAAAGAGAAATAAAAGGGTCACTTTGACTTCTCCCTCATCCCCAACTCAAAAAGCTAATAAATTGAGCAGGAATAACTAGTCTAAAATTGAAGTATAATAGTGGGAAGACTTTTACAATAGTCTAGTTAGCCTAGTGAGGCAGGAGACTAAGGGGAAAACTGACCTTAAATGTAGAATAAGAAATAAGAATGGTGAGAATGCTTTACATGTGAGAATAGGTCCAGCCTTAAAAAGAGAGGGCCACACTAGGTATGTGCTTAATCTGTAACACACAGCTCATTTAGTAAATGTGGCCCCCAGTGAGTATCTCACATTCTGACTTTTTCAGATGAGTGTTTTCTAGCAGGGTAGTGGAGGTGAGGGGGAAGTGGGTTGGG